GGCCGTGCCGGGCTCTGAGGTCCCAGCAGGTGGCAGCAGCAGGCCACGGATGGGCTCGGTGGCAGCCCAAGGTCCCTCTGTCCCCAGCATCCCCACCCCGGGGCGTCAGCACAGGAGGAAGAGCGCGCGCCGCCTCCCAAGCTCCGGAGCCCCACAAGCTCTGATGTCCCCGCGTGTCCCCCACGGGGGCTGGAGGGAGATGCCAGCTGAGGCCTCACCTCCACCAGCTGCATGAGGTTCTCGAAGTAGACCTCCTCGTCGATGCTGAGCTTGCTGGAGGAGTAGATGATGCGGTAGTGCTCCACCTTGCCCTCACAGCTGACGCACAGTGTGTAGTCCCCGGGGTAGTTGGTGCTCTCCCGCACCAGGAACAGCCCCGTCTCAGGGGGGTACAGCAGCCTCTCCGCCTGCTCCCGTGTGATCTTCCCGTGGAACCACCTGCAGGGCACACGGAGCGTGGGGTGAGGGCTGGCTGCACCCCTGGGGGGCCGTGTTTGGACGTGGAGCAGCTTTGGTCCCTGCCTGCCTGGCCGTGCTCCTCCACGCTGTCCCCACCCAGCCCGTGACACAGCTCCTTCCATGGCGTCCTGCTGCCCTCCTGGAGCTGGCATTCAGCCCCTCTGCACGCTCCCAGAGGGTTCCTCCTCCAGACCGGGAGTCACTGGCAGCTCTGGGATGTGGCAGGAACATCAAACCTCTCCATCTCCCATCGCTTGTGTACTTATCCCATCCCAACCTTCCCTCTTCCTCCCAGCAGCCTTTACAACCCCAGCCTCGGGGGAAAAAACCAACTTAAAATGCAGCCCAACCATCTGTCACCTCCCGAAACCTCCCAGAACACTCAGAGCTCTCCCCAGCGGCAAATCCCAATCCCAAACCCACGCTGCTGCCCCCCGATCTCGCTGGGAGGAATGTCCATCCTGCTGGGACACGGCTCTGGCCACAGGGATGCTCCAGCCCAAGCCGCCTCCCCCCGGATCCAGCTCGGCTGGATACTCACGGCATGAGGCTGAGCTTGATGCCAGCTTTGACCCCTTCCCGCTTCTGGACGTAGTTTGCAGGAATGATGCCCTCGCGGCCCACCTTGTTCTTCGCCTTGTACCAGTTGGGATCCTGTGGGGACAGCAGGATGTCACCAGGAGCCCTGGGGATGGCTGCATCCCACCCGAGCACCCCGCTACCCCTGCGCGGGAAGGATGGGATGAGCAGGGCATCCCATTGCTGGGGTCACCCAACCAAGCACCCTCCCAGAGCCCCCCAAACCCACAGCCCCTCTTTTCCTTCCCCGGAGCGGAGCCCGGACCGCTGCCTCTCCCATCCCTCCCAGGAGGCGCCGGCATTTCGGAGAAACCTTAACTAACGAGGCCGTGGATTAATTAAGGGAGCGCGTGGCCCGATTGGCGCCCAGCGGGGCTGGCAGGAGCAGGGGCTGCCCGTGGCAGGACGGTGTCCCTGGGAAAGGGGAGGCTTTACCTTGGTGACAGCGACGATGGTGAGGACGTCTCCTTTGCTGAAGGGCAGGTCCTGCTCGGCGGTACCGTGGAAGTTGTACTTGGCGATACATTCTGTACCGGACGGCCACACGGCCTGGCCAGGAGCAGGGAGTGCCATCAGAGCCTGGCCTGAGTGTGTCACCCACCCCCGGCACCCCTGACCCTCAGGGTGCCCCCAGCGCAGCTGAGAACCCAAACGGGGTCTATTTAAACCTCTGGAGGGCTCCATCCCCGCCCCTCCTCAGCCTCACCTGCATCCCTGACATCTTCTCAGGAGGCAGGGGAGCGACTCTCACAGGGGGGACGCGTCACTCGGTACCATGAGACCTGCACGGGGGGACAGGGTGGCTGAGAGCGGGCACAGGCGGCGAGGATCCCCACGGGATGCTCAGGGGCCAGCTGAGCACCTCTTCTCCCGCCAGGAACAGCTCCTGCCCGAGGTGCTGATCCAAAACATCCCCAAACTGGGGTGGAAGTGGGAAGCCTGGGCGCGCTCAGCCCCCGCAGCCGGGGCGGGACCGGCGCGGAGCCGCTCACCCGGATTAGGAGGCATTTGCACGGATACAGCTTCTTAAGAACGGAGTTTTTGAGCGCAGCATCTGCACCAAGGAAAAATCCAGCGTGGAGCAGACGGGTGGAGATGCCCAGAGAAGGGAAGGGAATGGAGATGACCTCTGGGAGGCCCATCCCACTCCTCTCCCAGGCTGCACAGCCAGGGCCCTGCTTTCCCTGGTGACCCACACGTGGAAACATCCAGCCCAGAGAGCTTCCCAGGCCCGGGATCCAAAAGAAATAAACCAAAACTACTCCCCGCTGGCTAAAAACCGCTGGGACTGCGGAATGTGCAGCTCCCAAAGCCCAGGGGGACGCAGTGCCCGGGGGTGCCGTGCTCTGGGATGGGTGTGTGGGAGGGGAACAAACCCGCCTTTATTCCCGCCGCTCCGGCCCCCGGCAAGGGATGAAATCACCGGCCCCGGAATCAAACCAGGCTTTCTTGGGCCGGGGCAGCGGGGTCGTGCCGGGCTGGGGGGCACAGAGCGGGACACAGGCAGAGCAACCCCCAAAAGCCACCCAAATATCTGTGAATTCACCACATCCAGCGAGGTCACCAACAGCAGCCCTGCTGTCAGCAGCCGGGAGTATTTTGGGAAGGAGGAAGTGAAACGGGGGCAAGGCCGAGGACGGGAGGAGGAAGGAGATAAGGGGCAGAGCCGTGGGGAGGAAGAGCGCGGTGAGAACACAGCCCTGTTTCCACCACGTGCCTGCAGTGTTCCGGAAAAGGCGTCACGCTGCCACCTTCCTCACCCTCCTCACCTTCCTCACCCTCCTCACCTTCCTCACCTTCCTCACCCTCCTCACCTTCCTCACCCTCCTCACCTTCCTCACCCTCCTCACCTTCCTCACCCTCCTCACCTTCCTCACCTTCCCCAGGGTGGGGACGTGGCACACGGCGCTCTGCTCTCGGCAGCCGAGACGTCGAGGCTCAGGTGTTGGCCCCCAGGACGAGCTTTGGGGACCAGAGGGGTTTCCATCACCACAGCTGTGGGTCGGTTTCTCTCCCAGCCAGGCTGGGAGAAGCCCCTGGAGATGGCACCCGCACCCAGCCTGATGGGACAGTGCCAGGGGTGCCAGGATCCAGGGGACAGCAATGCTGGGCTGGGCAGCTCCAGCTGGGAGTGCAACCCCCCAGAACATTCCCAGCTCCAACAGCCTGCCCTTCCAAGCTGATCTTTGCTTAAATTTTGGATTTACACCCGGCACGGAACGAAAAATTTCAGCCAGAGGGGTCTGGATCCCGCCAGTCTGAAACACAGCAGCAGAACACCAGGGAATAAACTCGGCTCTCTCAGGCCGAGGAGGGATTTAGCTGAAGCAGGGAAGGAGGTTTAAGGAGGGAGTTTCCCATGGCTGGGGCTGTCAGCCCTGCTCCCCGGCCAGCGTCCCGTGGGGACACCGAGCTCAGCCTGGTTCCGGGTGTTGCTCAAGGAGAGCTCAGCCCAAAGCCCTGAGTCAGCGCTTCCCACCGGCCAGGCCTTATTCCCCAGCATCCCAAAATCAGCAGGATGGAGGCTGAGCCCGAGGTGTGACCAGCTGGGGAAAGCCTGGAGCCAGTGCAAGGGATGCCCAAAGGTTCATCCCACATTTCCCACCCCGTGCAGGAATCCTCCCAATCCCCAAGGCCGTTTGTTTGGGCTTTCAGCTCAGGGATGTCACCGGCATTTATATTTGACAAATGCAGCGAGGATACAAAATTCATAGCCTGCCTATGAATAAAGAGAAATATGAAATAAAGAGAGGTTTTTTTCCCTTGCTAAAGAAGAAACTGCCTGAGCAAACCCCACCAAGAACACGCTTCATACAGCCCAGGCTTCTTTATCTTCCTGGATCGTGGATATCCACGGCACCGGACTGTGGCATTGTTGTAATTACACACAATAAATTTCCTTTCAGTTTTAAACAGGGAGGTGGTTCCAGCACCAGGGGCTGCCCCTCAGCCTGACACAGACCCTCCTCCTCTGAGCCTCATTTTCTTTTTGATCGTTACCTAATTTCTGCCTCAAAGCTGAGACTTGAGGAGGAGGAGGAGGAGGAGGAGGAGGTGGAAACCACACGGGGCAGCTGCTGAGCAGCCCCCCGATGGCCTCATGTGACAGCCAGCAGTTCCTGCTGCGCGTCACCCGGGCCAGCCCCGGCCCCGCTTCCGCCAGCCCCGCGCCTCCCCTGGGATGCTGGGCTGGGAGAAGGGCCTGGAGATGCTGGAGGAGTGGATCCAGAGCTTAAAAGCAGCATCTCGTGCCTTCCGGGAAAACACGGGCATCGCCCCTTCTCTCCTCAAGGAGGATGTGCGGCAGCACATGAAAGAAATTCATAATAATTAGAAAAAATTAGCCAGGGAGCAGCCTGGCCGACTGGGCAGAGCTGAGTGCTGGGTTTGGCTGTTCCCAGCCCTGCCAGGCCAGGGTTTGCCCCTTGTGCACGCTCCCCGTGCCTGAATTGGGGCTTGGGATGTGCTCAGGTGAACCCAGCCTCTGCCAAAACCCGCCTGCCTCTTTTCCCCAGTGGAGCATCTATCTGTGCAGGAGCCCCAGGGATGGATCTCACCCCCCAGGGATGGATCTGATCCCCCCCAGGGATGGATCTCACCCCCCAGGGATGGATCTCATCCCCCCCAGGGATGGATCTGATCCCCCCAGGGATGGATCTGATCCCCCCCAGGGATGGATCTCACCCCCCCAGGGATGGATCTGATCCCCCCCAGGGATGGATCTCACCCCCCCCAGGGATGGATCTCACCCCCCAGGGATGGATCTCATCCCCCCAGGGATGGATCTGATCTCCACAGGGATGGATCTCACCCCCCCCAGAGATGGATCTCACCCCCCAGGGATGGATCTCACCCCCCCAGAGATGGATCTCAGCCCCCCAGGTCCATCCCCACGCCTCCCTCACAGCCTTGCTCCAGCATTTCCCTGCAGGAAGGCCGGCCCAGCAGCCAAGGTGGGCAGGGCAGGTACAGCCAACACCTCTGATAATCCAAAGGGCATCGGGAAATGAGCCGGGGACAGCGTTCCTCTCGTCAATCGAAACAAAATCAAGCGGTGCCAGACCCACAGGCAGGTTGGGAGGGGAATTTGGGACCCCCAGAGCGAGTCCCACCTGAGGAGCACCATCACCATGGGATGGGGTGGGTGAAAGATGCTGCATTTCACTTTCAAACCCAACCATGAGAGGGGGCAGCACCTGCCCAGCACCAGGATGACTCTGTTCAAACCAAGTTTGGTTGCTGATGGCAGAGAAGCCTCATTCCCAAGGGGAACAGGTGCTGTGTTCCCATCCCCATCTCCCGATAAAATCCTTTAAACTTCAAACAAATAAGAAAAAAAACCCCAGACCAACCCCAAACCAGACAACATCCTCCCTGCCTCTGAAAGATCTTATCTGCTGTTATTACAACGAACACCTACGATTACTCTAATCGAAAGGAAAACGCTCCTCCTTCACCTCAGCTCGCAGCGTTTCCGAGCTGCTCCCCCAAACCAGCCCCCGCTGGGTGCCCTGCTGCCAAAAAAGAGGAGAAGGAGGATGGCAGCTTCTTTTCCTGGGGTTTTGAACTTCTTTTTGAAGAGAAAGAGAAGATGCTGCTGGTCAGAGAGCTGGAGGCACCTGGGGGACAGGCCTGGAGAGAAGCTGCTCCCAGCCCCACACTGCAGAGAGGTTTTCCTGGTCCTCCTTTATCCTATAAAAAACTCCCCGGGGTGATTTTCCACCACAGATCAGCCCGGTGTCCCTGTCCCACGTGCTGTCACCTGGGGACGGGGACAGGACCGAAAATCTGGAGGGAGGCAGCGGTCAAAGGGCAAAGAGGCAGCCCAAAACTCCCTGGGGTTATCCCACGGCTTCATCCCTCCCAAAACCCCCCGCACCCCTCCGGGGAGCTCTCCGGACACTCCCTGCCTTGCCGGGATGCTCCTGCGTGCCTCCCCTGGGAACAAACCCCTGTCCCGGGAGGAAGGCTGCCATCCTCCTCCTCCTCCTCAGCCCTCAAACCTCCCATTTGCTTTTTTTCTTTTTTCCCCCGGACTTTTTCATTTTTGTCGGGGGTGGGGTGGGGGACTTTTTTTTTTCTTTCTTTTTTCTTCTTCTTCTTTTTTTTTTTTTTTTTTT